AATATACTAAATCCGACCTTTTGGAATTACGTGTAATTATGTATTCTAACTCCGTGCCAGAAAGTATGCTATAGAAAATTTAAAAAAATCCTACTATCACCATAGGCGCAACATTTTTGTTTACCGGTAGAAATACATATCCCTGTGCATGTTCGTCAACAAATATCATTTTTGTACCCTCAGTATCGGAAAATATCTTTCTAATACCCATGTTGTGACAGTACTTTGTGCAAACATCCCATTTATCCAGTGAAAAGTAGATAAGATGACCAAGCTGCATGCAAAGGGTGGAAACAAATTATTATTTTTAAGCGTATATTGCTTTTATACTTCTTGATTACTTACATCTGTAGCAAATATCAAAAATTCCTGCGTCAAACAGAAACACGTGATTACTGAATCATTGAGTCCTGCCAGCGCGGTTGGGAATGTTTGTGACAATTTATCCTTAACATTTGGATTATCGGTGACAACTGCCTGCAAAAGCACTCGCGGACTGCATAAGGCGGCGCAGTAATCAGCATTCAATTTAAAATCGACAATCGGCGCAGGAAAATCACGTTCACTGAGTAATTGCGGTTGATCGCCCAGCGTCTTGCCCAAGTCGTAAAACCAAACATGATTATCGAGACCGGTTGCCAGATAGTATGGGCCGATGGCTAAACAACTAGGTTCATCCAAAAGGCTCAGACGATATGGTATTGGCTTAGTGTTCTGCAAAACTATATTTTAAGAAAAGATTTTACCCTTCAACTTCACAGAAAATACCTTTTCGGGCGTATACACGTAAATTGATACCTCCGCTAAACTGCTGAGTATAGCTATGCGTGGTGGAGAGACAGCGTACATAACTGAGAGCTTGGTTACATAAATGTAAACTGTGCCTGCCACAGAGGTCACCGCTAGTAATTGGCCATCACTGGACCAGTCGATCATTTGCACGCCCGAATGGTCAGGTACGGTTATGATTTTCTCGGTTTCTTGCAGATTAGTAATGGAATGGATTTTTATGCTAAAATTTAATGCGGCATTTGGTTGAAGTAAAAGTATAATAATAAACAGCTAACTTACGTATCATCGCCACATGAAGCCACTATGTCCAAAGCAGGGCAGTACGCTAATCCAGTCAGTTCATCTTTGTGATTTTTAACCTGCCATAACTCTTGGCCAACATCACGTGGATGCGTAGATATCGCCACAACATGTCCATTTGAGAAACCCAACAAAATATAACCATCACCAAACCATTTGTGCTGCAGCAGCGAACCGTAGCGACTTTGAAACCCCAATTCCGTCGGCGCATCAGGCTCGGGTAGATAGTAGAGAAAAAGAGTACGCTTGCCTATAATCATGCTAATCGTATTTTCACCACCGCCACCATTTACATCTCCCAAGCTACCATTGCTTCCGCTGGTACGTTCCTCATTAGCCATTTGCGCAAAGTACATGTCAGTGGGCGCATCACGCAACTGCACTACTCGCATAGTGTCCCCAGCCTCATTACTCAAGGAAAAACTTTTATCATCCGAACCCAACGCCAGCAGGTTCTGTGCAGACCACGCACCACACGTTATGCGCTTGTTGTGTTTGCCCAAAATTGGTGTACGTTTCCCGGAACGATGATTGTAAATAGCCAAGTTGCCACGGGCGGTTCCAACAGCTAGAACCTGTTCTTGTTTTGACCACACTATACAAGTAAGTGGATCACGCAGACCTGACTCTATTGTAGTTTTCATTTGAGAGCTAGAATCCCAAATAGTTATGATGGGAGTGCTGGCATTTATAATGCCCAAGAGCTCACCTCCATTATCCCAAGCAAAACCAGAGCATAATCTAAATTTTGGTAGAAAGCTTAAGCACATTTTTCTTTACTAAAATTGTATGGTTTTTACCCCGCCAACAACATGCGTTCCACCAATTGTCCTTGGCGATTGAATATAGCCACAGAGCCATCTGAGCCAGTTGTAGCCAATAGTGCGCCGGCCGATCCCTTTTGCCATATAAAATAAACATCTCCAGGCCCGTGTGGATCATCAAACTTGTATAATAATTTGTCGAATGACATTATTAAATTTGGTCCGCAAATTATCAAGTTGATAGTTCATGGATTGACAACATTCTTTAATCAGAAAGCTCCAGGTAGCAAATGGCGAAGGATACTAAATACTTCCTATTACCTTTTCGAAATAAATTTAAATAGATATAAATTAGGTTTAGTGATTCAACCGATATAATAAAGCGATTACAAATATAGATGAAAATCTTGCCTGTATATAACATACCATTTGGTCAGACTATGGAAATTCTGATTCAGTCTGCTTTCACATTTCTCATTTTTAGCTCAGCTTGCTTAAACTAATTAAACATTGTATCAACATGTGGCTTGTATTATATATATTTTTTCGAAGCATAAATTTATTTGATTCTATTATTAGAAATTAAGTTTATATTTTAGTTATCCTTTTCCCAACCAAAAAATGAACTGTTAGTGAAAATTTTCCCTTTTTGTTTTGTTCGCCCCTTTTGTTGTCGCTATGGTTGCTAAGCAACAAGTGGTGTTTTCCTTTATCAAATAAAATGCGAAAATTAAGTAAAACAGAATACGTAAATTCCTTAACCCATTTACCCACGCGGCGACATGCAAAATTTAAAGGTTTTTTTTAGTTAAATTTTCTGCGCACTCAACGCAGAGCAGGAACTTAAGGGCAAAAACATCCATGAACCAAAAATACAAGATCACGCGGGCAGGAGAGTAGCCCGTTAGAATCGCATTTAGGAAAAATGTTTAACGATTTTGACATTAGCCGTTTGTTTACAATTTGGTGGTGGCTTTTTACTGCAATTTTTTTCATTTTCGCCTGTGATAACGTGTATACACATAAGATAAAGAATAATTTAACACAACGGCATGATTTATAGAAGAATTTGCATAATAAAAATGATTATTCACAGCGTTCAACAATTTCGCGGTTTACTCCGTTCTCTTCGTTGTTTACTTTTTACAACAAAGATGGCGTCGAGATTTCGGCAGCTAGAAAATAACTTTTTTCTTTCTTTCCTTCCCGCGTGATCTTGTGTCTTTCGTTCATGAAAAACATCAAGGCGCATACATGAACGAAAGACACAAGATCACGAATCAAGAGAGTGAAAAAAGTCTATTTTTTGAGCGGGTTCTACGCCATCTTGTGTCACTGAAAAACGAGCGAAAAGTAATTTAAGTAATAATTATTGTCGGCCATTAAATGTGTTGTCATGTTAAATTAACCCTTCTTTACTTAAATAAAAGTGTAAAATATTGGTTCTTGTGATGTAAACAAACGCTCAGCTGACGAACCCGCTTTCGCAAACTTTTTTCTCAAAACCGGTTACAAATACAACGTCGCGTTCTTACGTGAAATTGTATTTTTGGTCATGATTCAATAATGAAAGGTTTTGTAAGAAAAACTTTCTCTCGCTCTAATTTTATCAATGACACTCCCACCCTACTCCTAAAAACAAAAACAGTGATATTTCTTTTCCAAATTTCTTTGCAAGTTTTAAGAACATTTTTAAATTGTTAGTAGTGAAATTTTTACTTTTTAAATTTGAAGAAATGTTTGTTCTGCATTCGCTGGCGCCAACAAGACAAAATGGGTGAGAATCGTTGGACTACAGAAATTCAATGTTAAGAAACGAAATTCCCTTAAATGCCGAAATGTATTTGTCGATATTCGTGGAGACCTCTTGATTCTGCCAAGTCGCTGTAAAGTAAAGCGTTCAATGAGCCAACGAAGGTATTTAGGTATTGTACTCCACGACACAATCCTGGTGTCTCCGAATGAGATTTTGACGCAATATAACATTGCCAAACCGCATCCATAGGCCCAATCGTCACACGACAGCTCGGTTTAGTCAATGGCGCGATGTAATTGCACACTTAAAAGGTGTACGCACGAGGCGAATGTTGGCTGGCGACCAACTTTATTGAAAGCGATTAGCTGAAAGTAGAATGCAAAATTGAACAATACAAACGCCTTTTTATGGCGAATATTTTAATATTTTTTTATATTTTGATATTTTTAGTTATTCAAATTTTTTTTCGTGCAACCCGGCGGGAGTTGAACGCAAAAGTTGCCTGAAAAATCGCCTCGTGCGAAAGCCCCATTACGCCACTTCTCATTTGACGATGTAGATCACGTTCCCTATCTCAGTCGTTCAGTAGCTGCGTGCTCTGAGTTCGTCCGGCACCAATCGCCAACTGCGGCTGTGCAAGCCAGTGTTGAATATTTTCCCCAGAACATAAAAAGTGCGACATCAAAGAATTCGAAACAATCGAGCCATAACCGCGAAAGAAACGTAAGCTCCAAATTTTTTTATTTGCCGTTTTTTTGTTTAATAAATATTGCATATTTTCCGCAAACAAATAGCTTCTTCATGTCCATCAACTGGCAAACAAATACAACAAAAAAAAGCTGAAAGTGGACCATCCATTCTCGAGTTATGCGCCATCTGACGTACGCAAGTTTGGTATAAACATAGAAATATTTATTTTTAATAACAATAGGGGGTTATATTCGATGTAACTAAGCTTGTTTAAATTAAATAATTAAATCAAATTCGTTTTTGTTTTAAAATACCACCATTCACTATTATCCACACGTTTTTATAGAATTTAGCTCCCATTTTAGGAAGTGTGATTGAATTCTTCCCCTTTTTCTTCTGCTTCCAAAAACCATCCCTGTGGGTGGGAGTGCCAAATTTTAGAAAAAAGCTACTTACAAAACCTTTAATAATTGAATCATGTTTTTGGTTCATGGGAGCATACCAAAAATGGAAAGTTGTTGCTATTCAGGGGCATGCTGTCAAATCAGTTAAAGCAAGGCGTTTAATACACCTTGAGTTAAAGCAAAAACAAAATACATGTAAGGCGAAGGAAAGAAGAAATCAGCTGATTGGACAACACCACCTCTTTCGTTCATGACACCACCTTGTATAAATTCGCCTTGGTTTCGGTTTTCTTTTCGCCTTTTTGTCAATCAGCTGATGAAGTTATTACTCATCCGTCAACGAACAACTTTCAACGGAAAATTGGCATTTAGTTCTTGAAAATTAAAATTTTTAAGTAATTAAAATTAAAATTTTTAAACAACATGACTGACGATCTCCCAGACAATTTCGATTTGATTGTCGTTGGCACTGGGTTTCCGGAAAGTTGTGTAGCTGCAGCAGCAAGTCGCATAGGCAAAAGTGTTTTACATATCGATCCAAACGAGTACTACGGAGGTGTTTGGGCATCTTTCAACTTGGAATCTTTCTGTGCACTATTGGATCAAGAGAGTAATAATGTAATAAGATATGCAACCCAAAAGTGGTACGTAGACGAACAAATTAAAAATGAAAACAATTCGTCAGGAAACGAACAAGCAAATGTAAGTCCTGGAGCAGAAGTCGACGGTGATACAGTTACAAACGTCGGAAATCAGGAAAACGAACAATGGTGTCGCCGCACGTTACTGCAACAATCACGACGTTTTAATTTAGACCTTAGCCCCCGAATACTCTATTCTGCTGGTCGCTTGGTGCAATTACTCGTATCTTCTAATATATGTCGCTATGCTGAATTTCGGGCAGTGGACCGTGTTTGTACGCGTTTTCGTAACGAAATCATCAATGTGCCTTGCTCGCGCAGCGATGTGTTCAATACCAAAGACTTGAATATTGTGGAAAAACGGTTACTTATGAAATTTCTTACCTTATGCCTGACATATGGTGAAGATAAAACAGAAGAGGATACTCTAATTTTTCGTGGGAAAACATTCCGAGAATACCTACAAAAGCAAAAAGTCACCGAAAAGATTAGTATTTGTGTAATGCAAGCGATTGCTATGTGCAACGATGAAACACCATTCGAGGAAGGCATGGCCCGAACGCAACAATTTCTTAATAGTCTGGGACGATACGGAAATACCCCATTTCTGTTTCCAATGTACGGTTGCGGTGAAATACCACAATGCTTTTGCCGGCTGTGTGCAGTATTTGGTGGCATTTATTGTCTAAAGCGACGCATCGATGATATAACTATTGAAGCTGACACCAACATTGCGAACGTGGTGCTGGAGGGCAAGACCATAAAAGCGCAGCACGTAGTTAGCGCGCAAGAGCACTTACCAAATGTGCTTCTCGAACGAAATGTAGGTATATATTGTCAAGGCGAGTTAGTAAACCTACTTTCCAGAGGTATTTTCTTGACGGCAACGCCATTGGGATCAGAAGAGTTGAATTCCGGTGGTGGAGGCGTAAATATTTTAAGGCTTGTAGACGGCAAGCGGGAAGCCATCCTTATACAGTTATCACATTTCTCAGGAACATGCCCGAAAGGAATATGTAAGTATTGTTTGTAATAATACGCTTGCATAAATACGTAAATCGTATTCACTTCACAGACGTTTTTCACTTAACAACGACTGCGCAAAGCAATCAACCTGAACAGGATCTGATGCCATTTGTGGCACAGGTGTTCAATTCTGATTTAGGAAATATACCCAAACTGTTGTACTCTGCTTATTTCACCATTATGGGACGTCAACGTACAATGACTACTCCAAATGTGGATTCCTCCACACCAATATTTTGTACCAGCGCTCCCTTTTATGAATTGGATTACGATAGGTCAATTGCAAATGCTCGTGACATATTCGCCAAATTATACGTGGATGCCGAATTTCTGCCACGTGCCCCCGATCCAGAAGAGATCGTAATCGAAGGCGAAGATCCACGTGCTCTAAGTGAAAACAGTTTGCCGGATGATTTGCGGGAACAGTTGCGTGAATTAGAAAAATCCGCTGAACATATGGACATCGAAGATAACGATGCAACGTCTGCTGCAGAGACAACACAGGCCGACGCTGAACAACAACTAATGGATTCTGAGTAAGCAACTGATGCGCGTATGAGTTGAACAAGTATAATAATAATAGTAGTGATAAGCTTAATTAAATGTGTAATAATTTGCTTCAAATCATTTTTTTACGAATTTTGAAACTCTCACCTAAAATTAAATTACGCACCCACAAATTATGAACCATTTGTGTTTTGTTATTTTAATGTTTATCTCGAGTTTAATATCCTGAACTTAACTATAGTTGATGGAAATCTCCAGCATACGTAAGCACGGCTAAATGCCGAATTGGAACTAAGTTGCGACTATAAGGCGCTTCCATAAACACTGCTCCTGGGAATAACTCTATAGATTGTCCAAGATCCCCTATCTTTCCTGGTTGATGAACCAAGCCGTTTTCTACTTCGATAGATAGCAGCTAGTGGTGTCTCAGAGGCGTAGTTGAGGTATTTTCCGTAGCAGGCTTCGAAGCGCTTTATCCTTCTGGATGGGCAATAAGCTGGATCGAGGGCCGACGATGTATTAAAGAATTTAACGGTAATATTGCCTTGCGCTTCGCCGGAAGGGAAACTTGACGGTTGCCAGTTTGAAGGCTCCACTGGAGAAATCGCAGGTAGACCGAAGCGAGTGTGAGTAGTAGTTGCCAGCCAATACAGTTTTTCCGACCCCGCTGACTACAGGGATGTTTGACGAGCTGTAGCAGTCACCCGCTAGCCTGGTGGGTCACTTCATTCACGCTGAAGAAAGTGAAATCATCTTTATGCCCAACGCTGGTCCCGGACAAGGTGTAGACGACGACGTGCGTTACCGGCAGGGATGCGTCGTGTCGAGCTGGTCGGAGCTGGTGGTGATGGTCCTTGGTCGGAGGTAAAAATGTGTCCGAGTCATTCTGGTATTGAAAGACTGACCAAATTAGAGACACTAATAATGCTTTTTGCTGTTGGAAAGGACTTCCACTAACCACAATTATGAAATATTAGTTTTAAAATCGTATCTACATTTTTTTCTTTATTAAAAAATGTTGCATATATGTATGTATGTGTATATATATGTATATTTTATTGTGTATAATTATATATACTACATGTACATATATATATGTACGTAGTCGTATTTTTATGACTGTAATATGCTGATTTCCCGCAGTGAATAAAAATTTTGTAAAATGCTTCAACGTTGCCAATATTTATTCACGCGAGCGAATTTCAACAAAAAAGGAAGAACAAGTAAGAAGAAAACTACAAAGTAAATGTCGTTGAACCACTGCTTATGATGGTATGAAATTATATATGCATTCATATTTTCTTCACCGTTATACCCAGTCGGAAAAGCATGTTAACATCAAAATATTAGTGGCCAAAACGAAAGACAGAATTAAATAATAATAATAATAAATTGCTGCTTACACATATGTTAGTGTTTGGCCGCGCTTCTTCTGATGTTGTCACACAAAGGGGAGGGGCCTACAGTTTTACGCCGACTCCTAACAGCGATTGTATTTTTATAAGACGCTCTTTTTCACAGCAGAAATACACTCGTAGGTTTGCCATTGCCTGCCGAGGGGCGACCACTATTAGAAAAAACTTTTTTTGTTTTTTGATGTTGGGTTGAACCGGGCTTGAACACAGGCCCTGCGGAGTGGTAGCGCGCACTGCTAACCACGCCCGCGGACCAAATTAAATGCATATCTGAAAAACTTTACTTAATTATGTTAAGAAAAATGTAATAACCAAATGTTAATAAGCAATAGTACGCATTTCCTGAAGTGGATTTAACTAGCCTCATTGCATGGATTTAACTGCATAAATGAGCCATTCAGTGCACACATCGGTTAACTCTACTTTTTGAAAAATCTGAAATTTAAGTGTCATAACACTTGGTATAGTCATAACTTATTGCATTTAGAATAAATTTATATAATATATTTGATTGTATAATATAAATGGAATTTTAAAAAGTAATGTACATTATTTGATCGCATCTCTCACCCTTTTGTTGATGGAGTTAATTCATTTGTGCACTGAACGGCTCAAATGATAGACAACTCTGAAAACGATTCCCAGTCTTCGGCGCCATATGGCTTCCTGTTTTCATAGTACACTCAAATCAGATATACATTAAATGGCCTTTAGAGTTGGAAATGTTTTCAGAATAAAGCTCAAAAATTAAAAAAAAAAAACATTGTAAACATATATTTTCCAACTGGGTACAAACGCTTTCGTCATTGTATTTTTTTCTCTTGAGTACTTAATTAGAATACAATTCGGTCTTATTGTTATTGTTAACAGGAGGAGGGCAGAGTGTTATGACAACAATGCAGAACTGCAGTGCAATGACTTACATTTTGCCAAAATTAATTTGTTCCTACGCTAAATGTGAGCATTTCTTAATATTCGTTTGTTATACTTTCTATATAAAGTTTTAAAAGTTTTTGATATGCGATGCTAATGCGCCAGCACCTTATACTTTTACTTCCTTTTTTACAATTTAAATTTCCTACACAATTGCATCATATTTTGACCTTAATTTACTCATAATCATTATTAAACGTTGTTCTGAATTTAAACGTAAAGCTAGTCTGCCCACGATTTGTGAGTTTTGTAGTTTTAAATTGCCATTTTAAATTTTGCTGAATGTAATTCTAAATGAGCACATAACTCCATTGCTTCTGAACATTAATTTTCTAAACACAATTCGAGTTTGTTTGCAATTGGTAATTCAAAATTGCATCTATGGCTAAATTAAATTACAAATAAACATTTAATAATTATAGAGTTTAACCAATTGTCAATTTAATGCACCTTAAACACAAAGTCTCTCTTTTGAGCACGCATGATTTTTTTTTAATTTTTCAGCAATTTATCGCAATATTCTACTGAATTTATTTTAAATTTTAATGAGATTATTATTGATATTTTGCTGGCGCTTCCGCTTGGCATTCATGGCATCGACAATTGGTTGTCGTTTGGCATTATATTTTTTGTTCAACTCCTCGATTTCTTTCTCCATTTCAGAGTCTATATTATTCAATCGCTGATTTAGATCGTCAAATGTGAGGAATTTTAAAAATTCGAATTCACCATCAACATAGCTGTGCGATTGAGTGTGCAGATGATGTTGCTGGTAGGCAGGTGGTTGGGGTTGTTGTTGCTGCTGTTGCTGTTGCTGATTGCGCAATAGATTTTGCTGATTGTTAATTGCTAGCAAGTGATGGTCACTCACCAACGGATGACCATAATATGCAGCTGCTGCGGCTGCCGCCTGCTGTTGCTGCTGCTGTTGTTGTTGCTGCAAGTGATGCTGGTGCTGTTGAAGACCATACTGATTGATAGCAGAGATTTGTTGAAACTGCATTTCCATGTTATTCTCCCAGTTTGTATCATTCGAATTTGTATGATTTAGTTGTGACTGCATTATATGGTGTTGTTGCTGCTGCAGCTGCGGCTGCGGCTGTGGTGTATTTGTTTGATAATGATCCGTACCGACACCCGAAGAGGATACACCGTAGCTAGCGGATTTTTCCAAATCTTCGCCTATACGCATTGGCACGAGCGCGTCAGCAGGATTTTTGCGTTCGAAATGGTCAAGAAATTTGGGGCGGTAGCGTGGTTTATTAAATTCGTTGCGCTTTGTTGTGGTTGAATCATCCGAGTCTGAATTAATGACCATAGTGCCTGTAGGAGTATGGATATGAATAATGAATACACAACAAAAAAAAAAACATTTTTTTTTTAAATACTTATCGCTTACTTACCCAAATTCGATTCCAATTCTATGAGCGTTCCAGTGTCGGTGCCGCCTGTCACATCACTAGCTCTGCCGCCTACATTGTCAGCACCATCTGCTACGCCCAGTACTCGACCACCAGGACCCAGAGTACCGCTATCTTCGGCATGCGCTATCATTGTGGCATCGCTACCTGAAGCCTGTTGGTATTCGCCAAACTTCTCCGGCACTAAAGTACCCGGGTCGTCAATAAATGTTTTGACCGTCTCCACCTGAAATTCGGGCTCATCTTCATGCACAAGCTCTTCCTGTTGTGTAGCTAAACTCTTAGCTTGACTCATACCCCCCGACCTATTAGCGCGCTGTTGCTCACGAATAGCACAAGTTTCCTCGATCATTTGTTTGAGTATGCTACGTGGCTTTGCGTTGCGAATGAACTCGTGGTCCAACAGATCGGAAGCGGTAGCGCGTTCATCGGGATTTTTTACCAGGCACAAGCTAACAAAATCAATAAATTCGGCCGACCATCGATCGGGTTCGCGGAAAGATGGTGGTGGTTTCTGGGGGATCATGAAAATAGCACGCATCGGATGAATGTCACCATAAGGCGGTTTGCCTTCAGCCATTTCTAGTGCGGTTATGCCCAGCGACCAGATATCGGCCACACAGTCATAGCCAATTTCTTCGATAACCTCTGGTGCCATCCAAAACGGAGTGCCAATCACTGTGTTTCGTTTAGCCATGGTATCTGTAAGTTGGCCAGCTACTCCAAAGTCTGCCAATTTGGCATAGCCCTCTGTGTTAAGCAGTATATTTCCCGCTTTTATGTCGCGATGTATCTTTCGACGTAAATGTAAATACACCAAGCCCTGCAATGTATCGGAAAGAATCGTTGCTATTTCATCTTCAGTCAGTGTTTTTTTGCGTAGCCGCATAATATCCGAAACACTGCCAGCACCACAGTATTCCATACATATCCACAGATCATACTGCTTGAAATAGGAACCATAGTAGCGTACCACGTACGGCGAGTCGCACTGCTGCATTATAGAGATCTCTTTGATAATTTCGTGCAGATCGGACGCCACTGGCACCAATTTAATGGCCACAATTGAGCTACTTTCCTTATGCAATGCTTTGTAAACAGACCCATAACTACCTTCGCCAAGTTTGCAAATAATATCGAAAACCTTTTCTGGTGGCTGCAGCAGAGATTCCTCTGAAAGTTTTTTTAACTCGGAAGACATTGTCGTACAATCAAACACCGGGCAGGGGATATAAAATTTCGCTCCTTCACCTTTACTTATTTTCTATGTCCAATATT